ACTAATATTATAAAACATCATGTATTCATTGGCATAACTATACAAACATCCAATTAGGGCATAGGCTTAGAATTATAATTTCTGGGTTGTATTCTGTTGTGTGGATGTTGCTTCAGTAAATTTTGCTAGAAAATTGCCAAAAATGGTTATTTTATTTTGCACCATATGAGGAATGTCACTTGTTGCATATATTTATCCTTACTTAATATTTATATTCTTTTTGACCTTCTGAATCCACATATGTGTACTGATTATTACACTGTATTGTTCAATTTGCATTTTACTTTTGTTTAATTAGTTTGAACATTTTTACAAATGTTTTACTTTGATATTGTCTTTGGTGAATTTCCTGATCAAATAATGTGCTTATCATTATATTACTATTAAGCTTTTATAATTGATTTAAAGAAAATTTTATATATCCTGCACATGAGAACTATGAAAACATTGCTAGTAATTAATTTTGTCTCTGTGTCTTGTTTTTTATTTTGCAGTCTTTATGATATATTTTATAATTTAGGCATCCTAAATTTATTATATATTCTTTTGTCCATTTCCCCTTTTGGAGCCATAATCTTTTATATGTTTATTGATAATATGAAACAGAGTGCAGTGTGATATTTTGAGTGTAGAATACACATCATGATTTCTTGATCATTTATTGTTCTTGGCTGGTTGCCCACAATTTCTCTTAATGATTGATATTTCATATCTATTTTGAAGACTAGGTTGCAGTCTAACATCTCTCTTGGTTTTCACTGACATATGCTTTCACTGTGTGCTTGGCTACTGAGCTAATCTCTGTATGATGAGCTCTTCTGCAACCAACGGTCTCTGAGAGGAAAGGAAGGACAGACACGTGTCTCAGATCACATTAATCTCAGTAGGGATTGAGACCATGTATAGCTGCACTTGCATGTCTATGAGTATAGACCCCATTCTGGATTTTCTTATTCTTTGAGTTTTATCTCTCTTGAGTTTCAACTAGGATATAACATTTTATCAGTGCTGTGCTAGTGCCTAAACACTGAAATATATTTTATTGTACTGGACTTGTGAGGATCTCAAAAGCTCTGCTAGGATTCATAATCAATATAAAAGCAGAGTATTTATTTTACACGGCAATAATAAAATGCTGAGAAAGAAATAAAAGGTAAGGCCATTTACAATAATTAGAATAAAATAGCTGGAACTAATTTTAATCAAGGAAGTGAATGAGCATCACAGTGAAAATTTAGCATTGGTGAAATGTGGAATAGGAAAAAACTAAGGGAGATATCCCACATTCATGGAATGAAAAAGTAATAATATTAAAATCTTCAAAGGGATGTGCATATTCACTGTGTTTGTTATGGAAATATCATTATCATTCTTCATAGATATAGGAAAAAAATCCTTTAAAAATTATATGGACCCATTAAAGATATGAATTATCCAAAGTCATGCTGAGCAAGACAAACCAAGCTCAAAATATTATAATGCCTGACTTCAGGATATACTGAAAAGCAATATAACCAAAACAGTTTGGAATGAACATAAAAACAAACTCTTTGACCAGTGGAACATAACAGAGAACCTAAAAAGAAATCCACATTTCAAGAGCTGAGATCATTAATTGTAATTAAATCAACTAGATCAAAAGACACCCAGATTATCAGCAAAGCACACTTCTGGGTTTGTGTGTGAAGGTGTGACACTGGAGAGTATAGCTGGTCATCAGTCCTGTCCTCTCTGGTATTCTTTCCTGCTCATCTGGCTTTCTAGCTGCCATGAACTTGCCCCATGATGTTTCTGACCTGGATTCAAATAACAAGGGCCTGAACCCTTTGAAATCATCAGTCAAATGATACCTCACCTTCTTTAAAATATGTGTTTTTCACTTATCCAAAGTGAGGTGAAAGCTAAGTAATACAGAATAGTGGTACCAAACAAATGTGTATCTGCTCTGATTATACTTGAAAATGTGGTTCAGAAGCCTTTGGAACTGGTTTGTGGGAGGAGCTTCAAAAGGCTTGGAGATGAGGGCTAGAAAAGATCTAGAATGCTTCAAACAGAGCTTGACAAGAAATTCTGATCAAAGCTCAGCAGACCAGAACACTGATAAGAATGTAGATTTTAAAGGCCAGGCTCATAAGTTTTCAGATATGGATGCTCCTGGGAATTGGATTAGAGCCTATGATTATTATTTTAAGGCAAATCATTTGTCTATAATGTGCATGACCTGAGACTTTGTGGAAGGTGGAGTTTAAGAATATCAGGTTAATCAGTCTAACAGAGATAACTTCAAGGCAACATAGCATTCAGGCCAGGGCATAGGTACTGCTGGCTGTTTCATACAGGCATTCGTTGTTTAATGACCAACTTTTGTTTCTGCAACTAGGTTGTTAAACAAATTGATCATTCAATGAGGAATTGTGTATGATGTGTACATTACAATATTCAGAACAAAGGAATAGTCCAAAGAAACTCCAACTAGATGACTGCTTTTATTTGCGTCACCCTTGGGCAGTACTGCAATGTATAGCAGAACATAAAACTGCAGTACTGTACTCTATGATAAGCAAAAATTGCAGTGCTGTTTAAGCAAGGTGTACTATACAAAAAGACATTGGAGCTCTATAAGTACGATGTATGGAACCCTAAAAACAAGCAAACAAACAAAAATCGGTCCTAAGTCTCTGTGGTGGGTCATAAGTCAAAACAGTCATTAAACAACTCAGTCTTAAAACAAGAATATCTATTGAGAACTCAGAACAAAAATTAAAGCATGAAAATTTGAAAACAAAAACAAAAACCTTAAATTTCAGCTCAAAAGAAAACACATGTAATGTTAGGGCCAAAAGAAGTGTGGTTGTTGAAAAAGCTAGGGCCGTTAAATATACATCAAGTACTTTTAACACAGAAAAAGAAGAAAAATGCCTTGAGGGGATCTCAGGAGTCAGTAAGATACACCCACTTCATAATGGAAGCTACAAAAGTTTAAACCTTTTCTTTGAGAAGAGATATCCAGTACTTCCTCTCTGCAAAGGACCACCTAATAAATTGGCTTTCTAGAATTTATTTTAAAAATTTTGAGGCTTTGGGTAAAGATTATTGTATTTTCCATTATACAAGATTAATTACAGTTTAGGTGAAATTCTTAACTTATTATTTCCTTTACTCAGAAATTAAGTTTGGTTTAAGGAAATTTGTTTTGAGTGTTGAGCTTTTAAGAAGTGGATTGTGACCAATAATTATCAACTAGACTGGATTAAGAGATCTCTAGCAAACCAGTAGAGTATATGTCTGGATGTATCTGGGTGGGTCCCAAGGAACAAACTTTGGGGACTATAGCTGTTTCATAGCCCTTTTTTCTCTGGCACTTTATCAAATGCCTCTGCTTTCTGGTTGCCATGAACTGAACAATTATGCTCCATCACACACTTGCACCATTATGTTTCTTCTTTGGAGCCATTTGGCCATGGAATGAACCCTCTGAAACCCCAAGCCAAGTTAAACCTTTCTTCCTTTAAATTGGTTGTGTTATCCTACTAAAGGGAAAGCTAACTAATACAATAGCTAACTTGCTTTCTACCAAGTCATCAAGACCATGATTCAGAGCAAGAAAATCCTCTTCAAAAAAGGTGCCAGTGATCAATACAGAGAAATAAGTAAGAAGAACCTTATCTGTCACCAAATGTTTAAAATATCTCCAAATGAATCAGGCACAAATGTAAGACACAAATATATGAACTACTAGAAGAAAACACATGTGAAATCAGGATATTATCCAGGTAAATACATGTCAGATATGACACTATAAGTACAGAGTAAAAGCAAAAATTTACAAATAGGTTTGGGCAGTTAATGTGAAAGTGAACGTGATATGATCATCACATATCATAAAAGTGTATTGCATTGTCACCCTGTGTCTCATGAGAAGGTACAATTACTATTTGTCAAGCTAATATATATATATATGTTATATATAATTCATAATGTAAAGTTAATATATTCATATATGAAACTCTTTGCATATATTATAGGAATCAGAAATGTCTCCATCAAAAGAGGATTGTTAAATATGATTTACTCTTTCTTAGAATCTATTCTCACAAATCATCATTGTACTGATGATTCCTTATCATTTCAAAATGATTTTAATATAAATAATATCTAGCTTTCTTTCACTTCTTAGTGAGCCAGTTAATGTAAACTGGTAATCTCAGGCTTGAAGCTATTACTGGAACTTGACAGGAATTCTATTGAGTAGTAACCTACTTTTCAACCAAAGTTTGGAAATAGTTGAGAGATGCATCAATCAGGAAGATGGGGATGAAAAATCAGCTGTATTATCAAATTAAACATGTTCTTAAGAGTTTGAGGTACATGTGGCACAGCAAGACTGTCCCATATAAGAATTCTATCTATTTGACATTTGATGATAGCAAAGTAATGAAACACACTTACCTGTTTCTCCCTCACAGAGTAAGAATATACACACTAAAGCCTATTTTATTTCTGAAGCCAGGGAAAAGGAAATCACTTGCTTTTAAATTTTTGTTTCTTGGCTACTGCTTTTCACATTTTCTTCCTTCCCCACAAAACTGAATTGAACCACGTGTGCCCAGATACCACAAATGCAATAATCAGATCATGTTTCCTTCACAAATAATTACAAGTGCAAATGCAGTCCCCACATCTACTGTTAATAACGCATATGAATTTTAGACCAAAGACACACCTTTGCTGTGCTAAGTGAGGACGAATCAATCAACAGATTTGTTATTAAAATACATTTGCCATATGTAGCTGGTGATCATCTAATTTGATAAAAATCACAACCTCTGACAAAGTTCCTTCAATCTCAAGAACGAGTAAACTCATGATTTCTTTCCAGACAGTACGCAATTTGCCAGTTGATTCTTTTTCAAAAAAGAAGAACAGGATATTCTGGAAGTTCAAATTAGATATTGGAAATATTTTGGATGCCCTGTTACCAGGAGTTAATATTTGCTTACCTTTTCATTCAGATATCTGCTCCTGTCTTGAAGTCCGATAATTCATGAGAGAAATTCTGGTCCTGATAACCTACAGGCTGATCCAAAAATAATTTGATAACTAGTTTTTGATAACAACTTTTGTTCATCAGATTTTATGCATATAGAGTTCTTGCCCTTGACCTAGTTGATTTCCAGAGTGTGGTTATATACTATATCAATAAAATAGAAGAATAACCAGACTCTACATTCTGACAGGCCTCCTTGAACTCTCCACTTCCAGCACATATCAAAAGCTGTGTCATGGGAAATAATAATTATAAAAACAGATATCAGTCATTTATCTCACTGTACTTTTGCCTAACATTTTTAGATCAAAGAAATCTGTGAGTGAGACAATTAACTGCAGTCAAAAGAATGTCGACCCTAGCTAACCCACTTGGACTTGCGATTAACACATTTACACACTGTAAAGAAGTGACTGTACTTTTGTGTACATACTACCTCTTTGTATAACCACCATAGGGTTATTTTAAAGAGCATATTTTAGAATAGATATAAGATACTTCAATTCCTAGCACATAGAATGTTCTATACATTTAGCTGCTTCTACTTTGATTTTATACTTAAACTCATATCTTAGCCAGGCTTAAAATTTATAAATGGATTGCAACTTCTGTTGGTGGGTATCTTCTCTTTGATCACTGTTTTGCCAGTATAAATCTTAGGATAATAGACAGTCAGTAATCGTTGAGCTTGCTGGATGGATAAATTTTACCAGACTCTGGATATTGTCATTTGGTATGTCATCTATCTGGTTTCTTGAGTAATCAAATGAAATGTTATAAGATTATAATATGTATTTAAATGGGACTCCATGTCTAGAGAAATTACACAGCCTTCATTTACAAGAAGTCCATAGGAAAAAACCCACCTCTGACTTATAGGAAGATATTACTATTCTTTTTAAGGTGAACACGAATTAGCAACAGAAATACAGAAATGAATAATATAGTTTCTGGCTTTAAAGAACACCCAACATTGTGGTAATTTCGGCGATTTATTTAGGAACAGAATGTATTTTGAATATGCATGTATAAAGCAAACTAAATTTAAGATAGCTTTACTTATTCACTGGAGTTTTATAAAAAGACAAAATTAAATTTAACACACATACATATAAACACATTTACATACACACAGTTTCTAATGCTTGTGATTCTTGTTACATTGTAATTTGTTGTTCAGAAAAGACATGAGAAGTCTTATAACTGCCTTTTGCAGCAATACTAGGTTATACTTGCTGTAAAATTTAGCATCTGCCAAATTCTAATCTGTGACTAATGCAGAAGCCAATTGCCCATTGTTGGCATACCGTGCACCTGTACACACACTGCTGACGACATGTACCATATATTACGTCCAAATCAGCAAGGATTATTTCCAAACTTGGAACAGATTTAACGTACATTAACACACAATGCAAGTACATATTGCAAGCTGATGCCAAAGCATCCTGAAAGGCCACATTTTAAAAGGCAATACAAGAAACAAATAGCTGTTAAAAAAATCAAAGTATATAAATTCCTAAGCAACATAGATTGGGTTCTATGATCATGAGGCTATTGGACATTATTCCTTTTTGATTCTTACTTCAAGAGAACTCAGAAAGAACAAAAGAGATATGGTCAAACAATTATTATAGATATACTCCCACTCAGCTGAAATATCGAGAAAAGGAGTAGAAAGATTATATCTTAGTTAAAATATTGATGTTGTACACACACTGTTCTGAAACTGTGTTTTGCAAACCTTGCCTCATTTTATAGTCTCTATTTTTGTTGTAACTAGGTAAACAAAAGACTCTTGTATCTCATAAATATGAAATGAGTGACCTCAACAGGGATTTTATCGCCAATAGAGCCCAGATTCTACTGAGTGGATATTAAAGAATGGTAATTCTTTATTATATTATAAATTATGTATTTATATTTGTTATACTTATATATTTTCACTGGAGAATTACAGACTGATGTTTCTCTGACTAAATGAGCTATTATTTTTTTTAACTGAAGCCTCTTAGAATAATGCCTGGCTCATGAAATGTGATAATAACCTTTGATAAATGTTTAAGTTTTTAAAAATATTTCAGTAAAAGACACATTTACCTTAATTCCTCTCAAAATACTCTCTCTCATCAGATCACACTTATTCCACCATGGGTGCCATTTTGGAAGCATTTCTAAACGTCCTCTTTCATGAGTTGCTTGGCATGGTTAAACATACCCTGAATCTGTTCAAAACATTTACCTTTCTTGGACGTTCTTACTTTGGGAAAGAGCCAGAATCCACATAATACCAGATCTGGTGAATAAGATATATGAGGACACGAAGCAGAGTTTTTATAAAAACACTACTGCAGGTTTTTTCACTTGATGGCACTCACTAACATTCACAGTATATTTGACCACAATTACAAGGACATTCATGAAATAGTACTTCCAGTACTTGAGAAAATGACAAGAAAACTGGATATGTGTATTTGAAGCAAGGTATGAATTTTGAGAGTGATTAATGACAAGGTATCATGTAACAATTTAATTTAAATATTCACCATATAATTTATTTATTTATTTATTTGGTTTTTTATTTTACAGAGATAAAAAAATTTTTAAAAATTAAAAAGAATACAGAATTTCAAAACAAGATGATAGGAAATCAACAGTGGTTCTGATATTGCACAGTTATCTTCAAAGTAGTTATAATCTTTTCTCTAATTAGCATCTCATGATATAAAATAATTCTAGCATTTATAATTTATTTATATGGAAATGTACATTTTGGATGAAAATGCATTAACATCTTTAAGAAAATTTACAGGTTATTTTTATCTGGCAAGATAATGAGCATTAATTTAATATATGTAAAAATCTTGATTATAGAGAATACCGCTGCTGCTAAGGTTAAATTGTAAAATAATAAAAAATATGTATTTATTTTTGATCAATCACTTGATCATTATGCTTTCATCAATACATTACTCACCCATGCAAAATAATAATTAAATTTGTTCTTCTCTGCAATTTTTGGATTACTGTTGATTTTCAATCATTTAAAAGCTTTACATATATTTTTATATTGATGATATTTTTGTCAATAGAGGTGCACATAACATATGTGTTTATGGTTTCTTTGCTAATAGATGAACAGTTCTTTGAATATATAATAAGTGTAATTACAATGTTTCCTTATTGATCAGAAAAAGTTAGGTGAAAGTTTGTTCATCTGAGCAGATTGAAGTCCAGGTCCAAATACCCATAACTCTTTCTATTCCTAGCTGTTCAAACTCAGATAATTACCCTAACTTCTTAGCAACTGATTTCCCTATCTCTGTTATTGGGTGTCATCAGTCATATCATAGTGTCCCCGGGCTGTGTACGGGAACAAATATCTGTAAGTGTATCTAGCACCATCTTGGCTCATGCTACTTTCTTCTCATAATGACTTATTAGATGAAGAAGCTGTGATTCTAAGCATGGTATTTACTAGACATCACAGAGCCAGTGAATGGTAGACATGGGTCCATCATTCATGACTTATAGGATAATGATTCAAAAGGTGCGTGGCCTCTGAGACCAGAGATCCAGGTTCAAATTCTACCTCCATCACTTACTGGTTACATTTCTTACTGTCAGTTTTTCCAAACATCAGATAGGGTTGGAAACATTTCTCCCTACCATGTGTAATGGTTAAATAAAGTGGTGTAATTCTCAACAAATACATGTGATTTATATGGTTTCTAACTCTTAATTATTTTCTTACTGCATTCATAATAAAATTTTCAGTAGTAGGACTATTTCTTTTTCAAAAAAGTTTTATGTGAGACCCCAACATGATAAATATAAAACACTTGAAGAGAAGCTTTGGATGAATTACAGGAAGGAACCCCAGTTTATCACTTCTTTTCCTTACCCTCCACAACCATGACAGCTTCTGAAGGCATTTTCTTTGAATCTTAGCACTCCCGGAAATAAATGCCTTGGAACCATTCAACTTATTACATTGCCACATACATTTACATACAAAATCATCTGCAGTGGAAGCTTTTCTCAGGAAGCAGTTCTGAAAGCCTGGGTGGAGATGAATTTTCCATCTGCATCTCTTGGTAACATTACCACTTCCCTAGCACAACTTCCCACAGTGCTGCCCACCTGCCTTTCCTCTCCTATCTTGTTCGAAGGTTTGGTGCGCAAAGCATCAAGGATCAACATGACCTTGACTCACCTTTATTGAATCTCTCACTCGCTGAAGAACTTCTGAGATGCTACATGTCAGACTTGTGGCAAGACAGGTGCCACTGGTTTAAAAAGCAGCTGGAGCTCCTTGAGCTTGCTAATGCTAGAAGACTATTTTACACACCTGCACTTTTCTTTCCGATTTTCAGAAAAGCCTAGATTTTGCCAACCCTGGCATTTTTCAGTAACAATGTATTTTTCTGACAGCCCCATTGAAAGCAAGTCGAGCTTAGCACCTTTCAACTCTGATATTGCCTTTGGCTCTCACACAGACGCCTGTCATTGTAGCTTCTATTTTCGGGGTTCAGGAATGCACAGGTTTTGGAAGACTGCACTGCACTAGTAATCAACATAAATCAGATCCTGTCATCCGCTGCTTACTACCCTCCAATGGCTTCCATCATACTCAAAACTTTTTGTCTTGCCTAAAAATGAAAACCTGTATAAGCTGATCTTCCTTCTCCTACATTGGTATCTGATAGTATGATTCTTCTTTCTTACTTTGCTCCATCCATACATAATAACTCAGTTTCTGTTTTGCTACAGTCCGGACCTTATTTCAGCTGCAGAACTGAGCTATTTGCTGTCAAGAGTGTTTTTTCTCCTGATGTTATGTGGCTGTTTCTACATGTCATTCAGGTTTCTGTTTAAATATCTGTTTAAATGAAAATGTATTTGCTGACTGCTTAACCTAAGTTAGCCACTGAGAAATTTGTGCTGTATAAATAATTCTATATGGGCAGTATACATAATTATTAAATTTTTAAAATTATTATCTTTTAGGGCTTTTGTTTTTCCCTTCTTCTTAACATATAACTTCATTAGCACTGAAAAATTTTTTATGATTTATTTACCACTATGCCTCCAGAATATACAACGGAGGCTGACAAGTGATAGCAAGTCAGTAAATATTTGTTTATTCTTTAATTAAAGTTAACATTTTCTTCTCCAATGCTCTTATCCCTAGCAAGCCAGTTGGGTATGGGAGACCTAGGATATGTGGGCTTACACAATCTCATTTGATAGTCATTCATGAAGCACATAAGATGCACTGACCAGACCTTGGTAGGGTGGCAGTGTTATATGACATGTTCTGGCTTACAGGCTATGAAAAGAAGTGATCTGCATCAGTTTGGGGTGAGTCAGGGCAATGCATCTCACTAGGCTTCTATTTCTTTCTTCATTTTGGGAATCAACTGACCAGAGGCTATATGCTGAGGTGGTACACAAATAAAAGAAGAGTTCCCAGGAAAGTCATCAGCCTGAAAACAGATACGAGGGAGAGTTGCTCAGCCCACATCAATTTAGCATGCATATAAAGCAACTTCTGTGTTACACTGGTTACCCTAGAAGAAGGTGAACCTATCCTGAGTGATGAGCACACAGAGTGCAAGGGGCTTGAGCATGAGAGCTGTTCAGAATCAAATTCAGCCTGAGTCACCTAATCTACCCAAGCCTCTACCAACTGCATAAGATGGATAATCTACAGGAATGCTTCTAGGTGCTCACATACATAATCACTTTTGGAACAGACTTTTCCTTGAATTTTAGTTTAGGATGAAGATTCCTAATCTAAAAATGTATAACTTTGTATCCTATTCTTGTACTAGACCTTGATGGGATGAAGGACACCAGCTCCTTTAGTATCTGTCACCTGTTCAATTCACAGTTGACATGGTCATAACTGTAGGTGCATTGGGACTTCTCCTAAAACAAGATGTGAATAAATCCCCTTTTACTTCTACAGCAACTCTTATTTTCATAATGATGATGGACACGTAAGTAAGTGTGTTCAATGATTTATAAGAAAATTAAATGTTATGATGAAGATACCATCAAAAGAGAAGGGGTAAAATTTTAGTTGGGTCTTTCAACATCGGGAACTATTTGTGAGATCTTCTACTGCTCTCCTATTTTAGTCTCCATACTCGGGTCCTTCCAAACTGCCCTGCTCTTGTAATAGAGAAAAATACATATTTCTAAAACATATTTATGAAGCTGATTAATAGGAAATTAAGAGAAAGCTGCACCCCAGTGTAGAAGCTTTCCTATATTCTTTAGGGTTTCTTGCTGCTCTTAACCCTTTTCAAAATAATTTTCACTGAAAGCACTGTGAAGTGAAATAACCTGGAATTCTGAAACTTCCCTGTGGAAATCAGAGTTTATGATCAATATGACAAGAGAGAGGGAGAGAGAGAGAGGGAGAGAGAGAGAAAGGAGCTGGGTAGGATGAATCCTGTCTTTCTGCTGCCACGAAGTTATGGACCAGGATAGGAAATAAACATGACAGATGGAAAAAGTTTTTCTTTGAGAAATATACTAATTTCATCTATAGACATATTACTTCCTCATCCTCAGTCACACAAATGTGTAATTCAAGGAAAAATCAGACACACAGAGCTCAGGTGAAAAGTCTGGACAGAGGATATACATTTGAGAATCAACATAATAAAAATATGTAGATTAAAACACTTGAGATAAGAGGAAAATTTTCCAAAGAAGACTACTGCATGAGAGAGGTGTCTAAGATAAGCCTAAGGCAATCACTTATTTAATAGGAAATGAAGAACGATGAATTAGTAAAGAACAATGAGGATAGTTGGTAAATAAAAGAGAAAAACAAAGAGGCTGTAAAGCTAGAGAGAGAACATTCATGAAGGAGTACCTGCCACAGGCGTAAAACCCCCAAGCAGGGCCAACACGAATGGGTGCCAATGGGGGTTCTTTGATTAGCGGTGTGCGAATTACAGTATTAGAGGCCCTGACAAATGGAAGTTCAGGGGAGTGCAAAGGATGGAAGCCAGGTTTGACTGAAAGGAGAATCTAAAGAGGGGAACCTGGAGGCAGAAACTGTGCAGTGTCCACCATTCTGTCAAGTCCTGGAAGTAAGGAAGGAATTGGGACAAAATGCTCTGGTAGCAGAAGTGGCTCAACACACCCAGGGCATGACCTCTTTTTCTTTTTTTTCCTGAACTTTACTTTGCACAATTTGGCTCCATGAAGGCAGAAGCACATCCCAGTTGGCATGCGTTTCCAGAGTCCCAGATTGTTTCCTTTACCAGCTTCCTGGTAATGAATGGAAGTAAATCCCAGAGTTCAGAAAGCCTCTCTGATCTTCATCCTGCCGACCTAAAGCTGCACCACAGTGTAGCTTTCCTGTGTTCTTTAGGGTTTCATGTTGCTCTTAAACCTTTTCAAAATAATTTTCCCTGAAGGCACTGTGAAGTGAAATAACCTGGAATTCTGAAACTTCCCTGTGGAAATCAGAGTTTATGATCAATATGACAACCCGCACAAAAACATAAATCTCAGAATTCAGTAAATTGATAAACAGTATTTTTTTCTGTTCCTTTGAAAAATGGGCCATGTTTGTAAGCAGGCTGTGAACAGATGTCAAAACTTACACACAATTTATGAAGGCTTCCAGATAAAAGTAGTGAAACAATTTTCCACAAAAACACCAGTAAGAGTTCACTACTTACACTGATTGGCTTTGATTGAAGAGGATGCAGATGTATATCAGTTGTAGAGTGTTTTTCTAACATGTGTAAGGCCCCAAAAGCATGGATCTGATCCCTAGCCATGAATGCAAACAAGGAAAACTCTTGGTCAGGTATTTAATACTCTTGATTTGAATTTGAGCTCTGTCATTTACTTATTGAGATATGTTGGACAAAACACTGTGCCCTAGAACTTCATTTTCTTCATCTGTTAGAAAAGGAACTTTGTTTAAATTATTTTCCAACTGTAAAATTTTGCAATTTCAAAATTTGATGTTTTATAGTTGGATAAAAAGAGACCAAGTTTTCATCCTACCTATCCAATTGTGTTTTTTTATTAAGATAGGATTATCAGGGCAAAGAGGCTACTACATAGGTTAATATATTGCTCATGTAAACAAAGGAAGAGTTAAAGAGATAGTCACTGGAACACTAATGTAGTAAAACTCTGCACTAGCTATTAAATGGAAGGAAGAGATAAGTATTCAAGAGAGAAGAAGTGATGAGAAATGCCCTCCGAAGGCAGTTTTTCTGGGAGCCTGATGATCTACATGTCTAGAATCATCCTGACCCAACTGTCTTAGGAGGATTTCAGAAAACCTAAGTCAGCAACCACCTGCCTATCTGACTATAGTCTCTGAGGAAGTTAGGTGCTGAGATGAGGAGGATATACTAATGACTTTAATTTGTTTCTATCACAGCAACTGAAATGATTGTTTCCTGATCATATGGGTTACATAATGTACAGTTGTACTGACTAGACTAGGGGAGAAATGGCTCTTCCAAATTGTGAGAAAGGTTGGCAGATGCTTATTGAAAATGACATGCATTAATGAAAAGACAATTCCAACACCACCCCCTGATTTTGAGCTAGAGGAAAAAGTGACACTGGTTTATGTTTCTTTTTTTTTTTGTCTTATAGTAATAAACCAAATAAATGCAACATGACACCAGCTGCAGAAAGGATTGGTCTGTCACAGTTAGAATGAGGGGACACACACTCACAGGCAGTCCCCATAACTAAGGACAAGGGTTCCAGAGCCTTTTATCAATATTTCTCCCATTAATTTACTCAGATCCAAAGCATACCATGATGACTATTACTTCTCAAGCTATTATAGCAATTAAAGTGAATGGAAAAAAATTGTGCTTTCACTTATAGGTAGTATTATATTTTGTGTGACCTATTTATTTAAAATATCTGCCAAAACCTTCATTTATACCTAAAATGTGCATTTCTGACTTGTAAATCTGTGTGATCTTTATATACTTCAGCTGTGTTAGCATTCATACTACTTACGCAGCCCCTCAGCCTAAGAAGTACAATTAGTCACAACAATTAAAAACCCACGGAAGGACAGCCACCGAGACAAATGTTCCCATTCGTTTTTGACACTGTCAGGAAGACAGTGTCATATCATATCCTTTGAAAATAAATACTCCCCCTACGACAGCAAGTCTGTGCATGTGGTTGAGATGGTCACAGGAAACCAGCACGTCTCAACAATATCCACAGATTTGATGGAAATAATTCCTTCTGCTCTGGGTCAAGGCTCATGTTAAAAAAAAAAATCTTTCTGATTATAATTTTATTTCTGCTATGGATTTTCTGACAGAGAATAAATCCGCTGACTAGCAAAC